TGGAAAAGTAAAGGGCAGACGAGTCACAAACGTGAAAACATCATTCCAGGTTTTTAGTGAAGCAATAAGTTTACATAATGTTTAAGTATTTTTACCTGTATACTTACTGTGTAAATAGAACAGCATCCTGGTGACTTTGCTGTCTAAAAATGATGTTTAAATGGTGACTTTGCTGTCTAAAAATAATGTTATATTTATGAAATTTTTAGACAAAAAAACCCTACAATATCACAAATGTATATTTGAAAAAGAGACCTCTTATTCTGATGAACACAACACATCCTGATAATTCCACTCCTCTTTTCCACAGTAAACAGAGTTTTTCACGCCCCTTTACCAGTAATTTATATATTTAGGTTATTCTATATATTTACACCATAAATATTAAATCATAGATCCATTTGTATATCTGGAAAATCTGGATTAAGATCTAATCATAATTACCCAAAGGCCCATTCTAATCATAGATTTCCTTAAGATCTAATCATAATTACCCAAATCTAATTTTTTTAGTACTCACAGCACATTCGCCAGATCTAATCATAATTACCCAAAAACTCATCTTAATTAAACATTAAGATCTAATTTTTTTAGTCAAATCTGGAAAATTACGAAATCTATGCTTTAAGGAAGCATACACACCTATTGCGAATTAGAGATAACTTGCATGGGTGGGTGCGCCTAGATTCATCCAAGCCGCCAACGGATCCACGAGATTATGCTCATGTTTAACATCTTTGGCCGGTGAGCTTCGAAACCGATCGGGCTATCGAACACGGGGTATGAATTGCATTACGAGTCGCACCATTACCAATCTGCGATGAATCGTCTGCTGGAGCCATCGTCAACCACCAGCTCCCGCTATCCTTAGGAATTGACCGGATTTGTAGATCTGGCGAATGTGCTGGCCAGTACATGTTAAAGAGACGAAAATTAATTAATGTAAATATAGAACGAAATACGTTTGTGCAATTTGATTTTCAGACAAAATTATGGAATAGAAGAAATTGAGATGGTGCGTGTCATGGATGAGTTTAGATAAATGGGCCTTATTATTACATATATATATGATATGCGTATATATGATATAATTTTATGGGCTTTTAGAAATAAGACATTAAACTCCTTTAGTAGTCAATATGTATAGCCCAATTATTTAAAACCTTTGAGCTTAAAACAGAAGAATATAAATTATGCTAGGTGTTAATTGATTATAATTACAATTTATAATTATTATTTCAATTTCAATTATCATAAAGCACTTAATACATTATAGATCACTAAATACATACCTTATTAATAAAAAAGGAACAATTTAGATATCCATCAATATATATGATATATTAAACATTATTTATTGGTTAATATATATATATATATATATTTATTTACTTTTGGTGATTTATTAACTATATTCTTATCAATTCATTTTTACAGGACGTATTACACAATCTCCCGTTAGTGGAACATCTTTTATTCGTCAAGAAAATAACAATCAGTTCGGCACGATTTCATACCAATATCGAAGTTTGTTACATACTCCTCCTCAGACTCTACCGTTATCTGATATCTCAAATGGTATCTTCTTTATCGACAACTTCTATTTTTATTATATCAGCTATTGTTTCATGTGCACATATTCAATCACTTTTTGTATATACGTAGTGATTGGAACAAATTGTGTTTCCAAGTCCAAAAGTAAAAGCACATACCCCATCGCATCACGTAAGTCACATAAATCAGGTTGTTTTTTATATAAAAAATAAATTAGTACATTAAATATGTTAATGAAAATACTTCAAATTTAATTGTGTGTATTTTAGGTCAATTACACGGAACATGCGGTTCATCCACACCAAGCAGAACACAAGATTTTGGACTTACTACTCAGAGTAATTTTTGCCCAACAATGTTTAACTTTCAATTGTATACTTATATTATACAAATAACATTTCGT